TTTCCCAAATTGGCAAAGATTGTAGTTGTATCCGGTATTGAATATCGATTTGTTCGTTAATTTTCCTATAATCGATTACCAGTCGTAACTTCGGATTACCACTTTCATTTAAATCCTTTTTGGATGCAAGATGGAATGAGGATTTATATGGAGAACATGATTCTCTAATTACACCGTCTCTGAGAAGTGTTCTTATTTCGTTATTAATGAACGACGCAACTGAAACCGGATACGGATAGCTTGTGGTATAAATTGGTAATTTTTTTGAGTACGAATCCTAGCGATAACATTGCTGTTAAATGGTAGTGCTCTATTCGGGTCAACAAATGCATTTACATATGTGCGTATTAATCACATCGCGAAATTGAGTTTTAATGCAAAATGGAACGGAGCCTTCTATTGTAATCAAATTGCTTTGATTGCATGAGAGATGCTTTAGATTCTCTTTACCGCTACGGTTTTAATTATTGCCGTGGAGCCGTAGTATTATACCCGGTAGGTAAAATGTTCAAATGGATGAAATCAAATTTGGAAAGAGGAAACACCGCAAAGGTAATAATAAAAACATAACCTTTTTTTTACATAATTAATCTATATTTTCTTATTTTAGGGCGGAGAATCGAGGGCCACTGGGTTTTGGGGGTGGTTGAGGATGAAAGTGACGACCTTAGTCTGCTGAGGTGCTCATACCCTTATATGTACTGATTGTTGGAAGGCTTACGACTGTCTGTCCAGTCACGGGTATGAGTACCGACGGGTTAATCACAGCGACCCACCCTCAACTCATCGAGTCCCAGTGGTGCGTAATTAAAAAGTTTTTTAATAAACTAAATTATAATAATTGTGAAGATTTTTCTAATTTAATTTTTGAGTATATTTGGAGGAATAATATTGCAAATAATCGTTATGATCCCTTTGTTAAGTTATTAGATGCAATCAAATATACTTATAAACCCTAAAACCTTTTTTATTACAATGGAAAATTTATTTCAGATGGTATTTGTTTCCTGTRTTTGACATTTTTTATTAAATTTTCTTCATTTGATAAATGTGTATTTATGGCAACACTTATTATCTGTCAACACCGAATACTTTTGTTATTGTACTTGTAATGAAATTTGTATAAAATAAAATGCTTATTTTAAGCAAATATATAAAGAATTACCGAAAAATAAATATGTAGAAACATTGTAGTGATGTGTAAGTGTATAAAAAGTTCATACTATGAAAGAAATAAACACTTGAAATCGAGAAATTGCAATATAAAATTTGCAAAATTTTCAACTTTCAATGCAAATATCTCGAATACTATAAGTTTGCGGCGGCAATAATTATATATATTCTTAATCTGGAGCATCAGCCCTGTCAAACCATAAACAACTTTTGGAAATCGATATTTTAGTAATATATGTATGTTTGGGACGGCATTTCTAACTCCTTACGTACAGCTGCAACCGAAACCATTGGTTTTCGGAAAGTGCAAAAGAACAGCTGGTACGATGAGGAGTGCCGTGTCGCAGCGGAGCTGGCCGAAGGCCAAAGGTAATCTAGTCACCGATACCCAGAGCATACTTAAATTATGGAGGGAACACTTCTCTAGCCTGCTGAATGGCAGTGAACGTACAACGCCAGGAGAAGGCGAACCCGATTCCCTAATGACGATGGAGCTGACATTCCATTGCCCGACCATGAAAAAGTTCGAATAGCAATTACCCGTCTGAAGAACAACAAAGAGGCAGGGGTCAATGGATTGCCGGCCTAGCTATTCAAACACAACGGCGAAAAACTGATAAGGAAACGAAAGCATGCCCAACGATTGGAATTTAAGTGTGCTCTGCCCAATCCACAAAAA